CCCAGCCGCTATTGGTCTCGTGAAAAAGTAAAAGTAATCGAAACTCTATGTCGAGTGAAAGTTTTACCGGTCTCACATAATAGTTTTATTTTTTAAAAATATGTGATCTATATAATGCATCCCCGTCAACTTGCTGTAATTGACGGCGATGGTGATGGTGAAATAGTAATGCAAATTGTCATATCGTTTGATGGAAAGTCGAGCTCCGATAAAGATCATCCACATACGAAAAAAAGTTAAGAATAATATAATATAATAACGTTAATATTATAATATAATATAACGTTACCGGCGACCGACAGAGCATCTACACCAAACATATAGGAAAAAAAACAAATCCCCGTTCTACTCCGATTGTCAGGTAAAGTAATATAATACAGTTATTACCCATAGGGGTAATAGGTACATAGGTATTATATAGATACCCTACACCCGTCGTGTAAACGACTGTATAATAATGAATGATCCTGAATGTTGTTGTAATCTTGTGGAAAGTGGTCCTGTTTACCTATATATACAATTGTAAATTATTCTATAATATCTTGTGGAAAAGATCATATATATATATATATTTTTTTTTTTTTTTAGTGTATAGTATTTAAATTAACATCTATAACCCTATCACATACGTGTTAGGTTAACGAACCCTCTTACCGTGTTTACTGTATTATTCTTGTATATGGCTATAAGTGTATATAAAACAAGTATTATTAACCAGTTCTTAAAACTACCCACACCCTAGAACATATTATGGTTTTTATGGATTTTCAAACGAACGATCAATGCACGTATAACGCGACAGTACCCCTCAAGACCTCTTTAACTGACGTACCCCGGCAAGTCAACGACAATAATACTTTTAAAAAAGTAAGTGTTTAACACCTTCTATTCTTTCACCCCCACAAGTTTATTTATATCAAGTTTATTGAATTCTGTTAGCAGTTCAAATCTACAAATTCAAAGATGCAGCCAAATTATTTTATTAACAAAACTACTGCAGGCGAGTACGAGTTATTGGACATCGAAGTCGAACAAACTGATCGGGAGACATTTATTGAACAATTTGGCGAGCCGGAAGGAGTCATGGATAATGAGGGGTATATGCGTGATATATTTGACGATAGTGAAGATGAAGAAGAAGAAGAAGAAGCACAAGAACAAGAATCTACTGATAGTTCGTCTTCAGCGTTAGATTCTCAAGATGAAAGCGAATCAGAACGTACGTAATTTTATTTTTTTTCAATGAAACTTATAAAACTTTATCGCTATTTTCTGATTAATATTAGTTATTTAATTATATCTGTTTTTAAATATAGTGGAAACCCGCGTATTTGGTGAATACACCGCTGATTATACACCGATCCACCCGTCCAACATACTTCCATGTTCGAGAGAAGAGGAAACTTACTTGGACGAATGGTCTTTAGAGGATAGTAGTGCAATGGGCGATCTACGTTGGCGAATGTCATTCCCAGGTTTGGCTAACAGCTACAGAAATATGGAGAGAATTTATGCCGGGGCGTACAACGTTGATAACTTCAGGGAAATCGCTTGTGAGCACCCAAAATTATACTATAGATACTTCCAATATAAATCGGTAGAATCCCTATTAAATCTTCCGAGAACACCAATATCTTTTGGGGGAATGGTTCGGGCAAATTTTTGGTGTTTCTCAATTCGGGAAATATTATTATGTTTGGAGATGTGGGGCACCAATTTTATCTTAAGTAATTACAAATGTGGGACTGTTCGCAGTATAAATTTAGAAGGGAGGACCACGAGAAGAAAGTACTATGTTTGCGACATGTTTGCAGTTATGGAGCTATCACTTCGGAGGGGGATCTTGAAAGGGTTGTCACATGGAAACAAACTTTCCAACCAGGACACTTAATATTGGACTTAACAAACTTTAAAAAATGTGAAGTTTGCGGAGCCAGACTGGAGGTCTGGGTAAACTTAACAGATATTAATTTGATACGTGCCGCAAACCCTGACTTGATCCTAAAATCGGAAATAGTCAGGGCTTATTTTAATTACTTTATTCCAATTTCTGAATCATATCCAATATTAGGTGTCTAGATTTCAATGTCATGCACCCCCGGTGTAGATTTTCTTTATATATACAAATGTAAATATACCATATTATTGTTAACAGCATTATTATTATTGTTATTGTTTATTATATTATTATTATTATAATTGATAGTATTTCTGTTTATGTATTATATTTTTCTTAAATATATTCTGTACAAAGAAAAAATACTGTAACATTTTGTTTTTACTCATAGCCTAATATTAATTACCATATATGTGTTTAAACCATACGTAACTTGAAAACACAGCATGTATGCATTCATGCGTGTCTGTGTATATGTGTATGTGTGTGTGTGTGTGTGATAAAAATCACACCACTTAACGGTCGTAAAAACTCAGAGACTAAATAACAACTTAGATAATATAATGTTATTGATACGCTGTGAGGTAAACCAGTTTTCTTTTAAATTATTACAAACAAAACATAATCACTCATTTAGAAAAAGAAAATAATATATTATTGTCAAAAACTCGTAAACTATTACAAATAAATGAATATGAGAAAGAAACATACATTTGTTTTACAGGTTTAAAAATATTTCAATACACTTATTTTATATTATGGTTCAACATTATAATATTATTATTATTGTATTAACAGTAATAAGTTATCAACATAAAAAACATAAGATTCCAAGAATCATATTAATTTATAGTTTTTATAAGTATTTATTTTCAAATATTAGCACAAAAAATAAGATAGTATATACGTTTTATTATTTTTTTAGATATTTTGTTTTCACACTGTTAAAAAAAATTATGTCTCAAAGTCTATAATGAATGACTTATTCTGTCTACGGCCTCTAAAAATTAAAAACACCGGACCTGTTTTGTTTTCAAACTCGGCGCATTCCTGTTCCGTGAGTTTGAACGATTGTGGTAGAAAAACTCCATATGTTAGACTATCTTTTTTATCGTCATGCGTACTACCGTGAAGTTAGGTCCGAATTTACTGGCGATTAATTTGACATTTTCTATCTGATATTTGGCGTTCACTTCCAGCTCGCCTATACTGATTGATTTGGCATATGTTTTTTCGGACTCTTCAACTTTTGACTTGAGTAAATTGGCGAAACTAGCCATGCTAAAAACAAATATATATGTATATATATATATATATATGTAATATAAATATTTTTATATTTTATAAGAAGATATATTATTACCTTATTTTTTGTTATGTACGGAGTAAATAAATAAAGTCGTCTGTTCTTGTAGAACTTGAAAAACGTATTAAACCGTTTCAACTAACTGTAGTATGATGTTCTAAAAGAAAAGTTATATATCCCCCACTCTTTTACTAAAATCTTTAGGTACAGGAGAGGTCAAGGCTAAATCTTGTGTTATTATAAAAATAAAAATACATATGCATCGGTTAAACAAACTTTCTCGACAAGAATGTTTTTTATTTTCTAATAATTTACATATGGTGGGGTACTAAAAAACTTGTTCGATACGGTTAAGTGGAAATTCCGTAGCTCATGATATTTAATGTCTAATAGAGTGCTGTGCTGTTCGTTGTGTGTTATTTCGGTTCAACATTTCAGTATTTTAAAATGACCGGTTTAATAAAAAAAAATGAATTAACTTACAAAAAAAGAAAATATAGTACGTTACGTCCGCCACATGAGTTAATAGACTGTACGGTGTTTACAATTGACTATAGTAGTAGAAAATATATTCAAATCGGCTTAGACCCGAAGGAGACATATAATGTTAAAATACATATTTTGACTTCTACAAGTTATGTGACAGTCGGTATAATCTTATTTAGCAGATTAATATCTGCTATGAGTACAATATTGACCAATTTGTCGATTGAGCAAACCGCTTTAGAAAACTACGAAAAAAAGTTTCAAAAAAATGTTATGAAAAAACTGTTAACAGATGAATCCTTCATAATTTCAAAATTAGTTTCACGTGGGCAGCATTTATTAGTTGTACAGGCTAAAAGTGATACACACTCCAAAATTTTACTTTGTCGTGAGGAATTATTGAAAATTCAAGAACTTCAACACGTTGTTAATGCAGTATATTACCACAAATCGTATGTAACCCGTCTTATCGTGTTAGAACAACTCGAAATATTTGTAAAATATTTAGACTCTCAGTGGAAAGAAAAAAACAGTTTCCACAGCGATGAAATGGTATGCTACATACAAAAAATGAGTCAAGAAACGATTTCTAGCTTAATCTCAAACGATAAACCTGACTATATCAACCAACTTATATCAATCGCAGCGAAATCTGTTGCTGACGCTTGGGTTGAACTTAAACATTCTGAAATAGAGGTTATTATAGATTTTACATTATTATATAATACTTTAACTAAACAATCATTATAAGTGTTATTATTATTATTATGAACAGGCTCCTAAGCGTGAAGATGAAAACGTGATTGAACAACTTGCAGATTTTGAAATTAAAACTAATTCATCACCTAAAACCATGCAAGATGTAGATGACTGTTGCAAGTGTGATTTATGTATTTTCACAAACATAAATAATGTATGTGATAACATTACAGACAATGGGAAATATTATGTATTTAAATAAGTAAATAGCTATTTATTGTATAGAAATTATTGTATGAAAAAAAATAAAACATTTATTTTTATTACATTGAGAGATAACCCCATTTATTTATTAAGAAATTATTCTAACAACTATCCTTCTATATTCTCTCCTCCTACTTTTAAAAAAATATGTAAAAGAAACAACTTTCTAAAATAAAGAAAAGAAAACTAGTGCCCCGCACTAATGTTTTATTCAAGAATATGGTTTAGTCGTGTGTCAGTCGATGTTACGCTTTTACGTTCATAGCTGTTTTTAATATTTTTAAAAAAACTTTTATTATTTTTGTACAACCGTGTTATTTTAATTTATATTAATTGTACTATCTAAAAGTCATCATGTTTACGTGTATACAATGTGGTAAATCGTTTGCAAACAAATCTAATTTAAACAGACATGGCATAAAACACACTGACGTTCAATTTCCTTGTCACGCTTGCAATAGAGTTTTTAGTCAAAAATCAAATTTGTTGCGTCATGTGAGAACCGTACATCGTAAGTAAAGCATTAAATATATTACATTTATTTAAACAGTAGTTATTAAAAATAAGCATTAAAATCGATGGACATAAAAACAATTTATACTATTATAGATCTTGCTAAAAATGGGGTTGATTTTAATGACGCTATTGACGGTATAGGACAAGTGTTTAACAGTGAGTAGAAATAAAAAAAAAAATAAAAAACATAATATTCTATTCGTAATTTCGTATTTTTATCGTAGATTTTAATCAGCGACAGCAACAACAAGAACAATCGAATTTAATAACATATATTCCGTCAAACGCGCAGGCTAATGACACCCTTTTTACGACACCAAGTGAAACTGTTGACCCTCGTAACGGTAAGACTTGTTTTTAACAATATATATATATATAAATATATATAAATAAGTAAATATTTAACAGGTGTAGATTGTACGTCTGACCCACTACCAACAACACAGTCGGTTAAAAAAATAAAAACGGCTGATGGGGAATTGTTGAATAATACTACGATTGAACCCGGCTATTATAATGAGAATACGATGTGTAATAAACGTAAAAAAACCGCTCGTATGTCTATGGCGGCGACCGCGGGTCAGGATAATTTTATTCATATCGAGTCATCGTTCAAGGGAAAATTAAATGGTTTTATAAAAAAAATATAAACAATACATTAGATTATAATGAATTTTTAAACAACTGCAAACCACAAATATCTAGTCTTTTAAGTTCAATGGCGTCAATTCATCCAATTAAATACAATTTAAAACTAGAAGCAACTTATAGTATACCGCAGCAGGAAAACACAACAGAAAATCGGGCTTTTAAAACGTCTGCTAGAGAGCTTTATTCGGCGAGTGATTTGAATGCTGCAGTTCTTGATGACTTTACAAAGCTCCTCGAAGAAGAAGATGAGTATGTTGCCAAGGGCTCTGGTTATTCCCTTCAAACAATTGATGGAATACTTCTGGGAGTGTATGTATTTACACCGTTACGGGCATCATCCCATATATATCTATCCGAAGATATTATAAGAAAAAAGGCGGTCATTAATCCTATGAACTAGAACTTTTAAATCGGATGGATACGTCAAATTTACCACCTGATCATCCATGTTACTCAGTAGAACGCAAAAAAGTTCCGGGGACATTCACTGATGAATTAGCCGGTCTTACGATGCATGAGATAATTGCATTGCGATCAAAATTGTACGGGTTCAGCAAAGAAAACATTTATAAGTCTCTGGAAACAGAATGGAATACAGAAGAAAAAATAAAAGCTAAAGGTATTATAAATTATTAAAAATAAAATAAAAAGTTTACTATTTAAATGGTATAAAATACATTATACAATTTGTGAATCTTAATGGCTTAGTGGGTTAAGGCGTCAGTTTTCAAAACAGGTAGATAAGTATATGATAGTGTTTAAATATAATAATATAATATAAACGATTTCTAATAATATATGATTTAATCGAAATAATTCCTATGCTGATTGCTTTGGTTTACTAAAGCTGTTAAGATTCACAACATTTTTTTATAATATCTCATTAAAAATTAAAAACTTTCATGCGTTACATAACCTATGGTATACACGTGCGTATACTGTTTGAGGACCACTTTCTTTATTTTCTGACCTTGTTGTATTAGTATAATATCTATGTATAAAATACCGGTTATATGGAAAACAATTATTTTCTTTTGTAGGTATAAGAACTTATGTAACTCAAAAACACATGGTTCTTGACGACTTTAAAAGATGTCTTTTCGATGATGACAGTGATGATGATTTGGACATTTACGGTTTAAATAAAGCAGAAGCCAAAATGATTGCTCATAATTGTGCTCTTAAGACCGTAGAGTATGCTCACCATGACTTAAATACAGCGGGTAGTACATCCTATCGCTACGATTATACTCCATACAGAGAGAATATATCTATACGATCATTCAAACATCAAATTTGTACCATCAAAACAATGAAATTAGCACTAAACCGAAATGATGATAAGAGGATCATACTTCATGACAGAATTCACACTTTAGCGATTGGTCATTATAAAATCAAGTAAATAAAATATATAATAATGATAGTTAAAAAAAAAAAAATGTTCATTCATATTATTATTATTATTCTAGAGAACTTCAAGAGGCAGGCGGATTATAAGAATGCAACAACAATTTTTTAAAAGAAAAAAAATATTCGATTTATTATTTATACATATAAAAAAGATTTCTTATTATATAAGTATACATCATATAATATATATTACAATGTAAACAATTATTTTTCTACAATATATATATATATATAAATATTTTAATATTATCTTTTACAAAAACTAAAAAAGTATATTATTTACACATTTTCCAAAAACCATTTTCTCAAAGTAAAAACTTTGTAAAATGTACATAGCTTGGGATTCAGTTCTTTATGAAAGAGACAACAAGCGAATTCTTCATTAGGATAGAGTTCATCTATTCTTGGACAGCCCATTAATTCCATATTTATAATAGTTATACCAGGTAAATATTCCAAAAGAAGTTGTTTCTTTTGTTCCCCCTTCACGTAAATGTTTCGAGCTTGTAATGAATTTAATATTCTTCCAATTTCCTCGCATTCTACATCACCGTATGTGAGACTCATTTTATGGAAATGACGCTCTAACCAATTATTAATAGAACGAGACTTGGCATTTTGAAACATGGTTGTTGAGTATTTGAATATCCAGTGTTGGACTGCACAGCTCTCGGTATCGATAGCCGATAATTCCTTTATTAGATATTTTCCATCAGATCCTAGTACACACTGCATATCAAGTATCAAGCGACCCATTCTTGTATTATAAATTATGTTGTTATATTATATAAGCAAGCAACACAGAACACGACTTTTCATGATTAAATACAATATATTACTAACTCTTCTTATTCCTGAATCTTATCTACTAAATCGTCTGACCTGTCCTCAACGCTAATAGTTATTTCAGTTTGTAGTCTGTATTGATCATATACTAAAATAGGTGAATCAAATTTTATATTTGCTGCCATTAGTTGAATGTAAGATTCGATTTTTTGTACGGCAGTTCGAATATCAGTAATTGTATCACTACATTTTGTTATATCCGCTCGATGAGTACGGAAAAGAATATTGTGTACGTCTACCTCATTTTGAAGCATCTGCAATCCAACTTGGAGATTTCCGATTGATTTATTCTTTTTGCCTTCTAATGAACCACCAAACACGTCCATGGTTGTCGATATACTAATCACTATTTTATACTAATACACTGTGTTAATATTAAAATTATCCTAACTCATCGATGATTACCATCTTGACTATGTAAGAGCATCCAAAATATATTCCCGTCCGTTTGTATTATATCTTCTTTTCCACGACATCGGTCCGGTATTGTCCACGAAAAAGATATTCCAGTCGTCATCATCGTACGCAGTGAACAGCCGGGCAAACGGTGAATATTCTTTCAGTGGTTTAAAATTTACACCGTATGAATTTTCACACGTTGACAAGAAAATATCCTTTGTCATTTTAACTTTATGTAAAATATCGTTAAAATCGGTAGCTTTCATTGACACGTACCCGACTATTTTTTTAGAATATACAATTTTGCCCAGCATGTGGCTCGGCAACTGACATGGACGCCATGGCACGAGTGACAGATACGATTTCTCGACGGCGCGTTCAAAGCTGTGCATACTTGTCTCTTATATTTTATCACTTCGAACATCGATTGACTGTCCGGTTCAACATCATCATCCAGGTCGGTCAAATACAAACCGTAACACGGCAATGTGGACTTACTGACAAAACATTCAGCATCTTCAAACTTACACGCTTTGCACAAATGCGGTTGAACGTCCCGGTAAAAATAGATCAACGATTGGTAATTACCCATTCTAGTTCATCTGGTTGCGTCTGCGACATGCGATGTACTGACTCCAATTCGTATCGATCCAAACGATGTTCAAACATTCATATATATTTAATATTTAATTGGGTCCGGAGTCGTTGGAATAGGATGTAGACATCGTCAGTCCACCGTGAGAGCGATACTGCATCATATTGGTCTAAATGATGACTGTTTGGAAATATAGTCGACAGACTTTCAACTAGTGAGAACATTATGTACTAATACATTATTTAATATATTTTATATAATGCGATTTTTAACAATATCGATTAATTTCATCATTGAAATTATTTTTCATTATGAATAATTAATTCATCATAGTTTGAGATCGTTTTTATCTATCCATGAGTTATGTGTTGAATCAAATCCTAACCATTTTACTAGAACTTTTGATCCTTTTTTTTGTAAGACCTTTTCCACCAGATAGTCATCAGGATATAGAGTTTTGCTTAATTCTTCATTGTAGAAACTACCTGCTATGGGTTTACCGGTATAGTCTTCTATGTAGTAAGTAGGAGGAGATGTAGGATTAGCTTTTACTACTTTGAAAATTTCACTACTCCAGCTAGGAAGATAACCCTTAGTAAAGATGGTTTTGTACATAGAAATTCTTACTCTGTCGCCAACTTTAAAGCGAAATTTCTGCTCAGGTATCTTACGACCATGTATTACAACCGAAGACGGGTTAGCCTCGGCCTGATTCGGTGTCATTCTAATAGTGCTATGTTTTGTATTATTATACGTATCTACGAGGCTATCCAAGATAGAAACCCATTCATATGAACCTTGAGCTGTAAATTGTTTGTACATTTTTGATTTAATTGTGCGATTAAATCTCTCAATTATACTAGCTTTGAGAGCGGAATATGTCGAGTATAAGTTAACATTGTATTTTTTCATCAAAGCCATGAAATGCTTATTATAGAACTCTTTCCCGGAATCAGTCATAAGGTGAGTTGTTGGGTGGGGGATGAGTACTTTCTCCATGGCTGCAGTGACTTCGACTCCAGTTTTTGTCTTCAGAGGAAAACACCAAGCTTTTTTCGTAAAACAGTCAATGACGGTAAGAATATATTTGAATTTCCGATTTTTCACTGAATGACTGGTCATTTCAACAATATCGGCTTGCAAAAGATCACCTTTCCCCTTCAAAATAACTCTCCGCCTAGTGAAATTTTTACGAGCTGGTCGATGCAGTTCTGAAGCAATACTTTCTTTAGTAGTAGTTATCGGTATCATCGTGTGGAATCGTTTTTATAATACCCTGCTCATAAAGTTCTTCATAAATAGAAACTATTTCATTATTGACCCCTGAGTTGCCTGCAGTTCTCGCTGCATGTAATAAACGTAATCTGGTAATTAATTCTTCAGGCTGATTCCAATATACGTAATTTGTTTTCTTATTATTCAGCGACATGGAAAGACCACTGCCTGAGGGGAATATCTTTGAAATGATCTTATTATACTTGGAACCGGTTCTTTTAAGCCGACTACCATCTACAGTTAAGTGAGCTGATGATTGTTCTAGCATTTTTTTATAATTTCTCGTATCGATTTTTGTATACTTATTTGGGTTTTAGAAAACAATAATTGTAGTATTCCCACGGTCATGGGATATGGTCTACCATCAAGTGAAATTTGTAATGAATTTCTATCGAATTCCATTTCAGAATGACCGAAATTTATTTTACCTTTATTATCAACCGGTTTGGGTCCATATATTTTATCTCTTTGTGGTGAAATTAACCAGTTATCTAATATCATACCAACGCTCACAGTATGATCCGTTTTTTTCGACGTTATGGCGGTTGATACTTCTTTCGATGCTTGTTGTGACTGAAATACAGGGTCATCAAACACCTGATCGCGATTTTCAAAACTTTGGTAGTCATCACCACCATTGTTCGTGTTTTTATTTGCTATTTTCGTCAGTGGATCAATAATTGGTTTAAAACTCTGTGTAACTAACGATTCTGTATCTGCTTCACCTTGTTTCAGAGCTATATACTTTCTCTTAATACTTTCCTTGGCCTGCGTTAACGCTGATAACAAATTTTTGTTTTTTTCCGTCATGGTAACTGCAGTGCAAATGATAACTATAAATTGCGAGCATGGTCTTTTATATTAAAGCAAATGTATCAAATTTGCTTCGATATCTTCCTTGATCTCTAATAAAATCCTTACATATCACTGCAAATCCATATTTATCTCGATTCCAACATGCTCTACAAAAGTCTTTAAACTCGGAAAAAGTCATATCTGAACTACAGTGGTCGTCGTAAGCATGTTTTAAATTTAATTCATCCTGCTTGAAAAGTACAATTAGATTTGAATTATCACGAATTAAAAGCTTTGGAATTTTCGAATAACTTTGACCTAAATAGAAAACATCTATTTTATTGTGTCTCCCACGTGAGAAGTATTCACGGATAATATGTTGGTTTTGAGAAATTACGTCATCAAAAATAAAAATACTATTTTCCTTTGCTTTCTCCGGAACCATTATTGTTTCATTTTCATAAAACGTGTACAAGTTTACACCATCGACTTGACGAATAATTTGCTCGAGTAATATATATTTTTCCTGACCCAAAGTCTTAGAATAAATGTATACGTTTTCGAATTTTAATCCATTGTCTGCAGTCAACAGTGTAAAGATCAATTGGGTTTTACCACAGGACGATGGTCCAGCTATTAGGGCGCGAATAGTGTTTGATAGAAGAGGACCGTGTTTTGATACCACACTATTGACGTCTATTGTATCTGCATTGACAATAGGGAGTTAATGATCTTGTTCAACAAATCGCATGGTATAAATATGACTGTCGATTGAAAGAAATGAACATATGATGTCTTCGTCTCGAAAGCTAAAGAGCAACAAAGGTTCGGGTCTTTTAAACTCTATTATAAATAGATTACCGGTAGAGTTGCATTATCCTGGTTATCAGTTTTGTGGACCCGGGACTCGTCTACGTCAAAGGCTGGCCGCCGGTCAACGGGGTATCAATCGATTGGATAACGCTTGTAGAGAACACGATATTGCTTACGATAAAAGTGACGTGTTCAGTGATCGTCACGAGGCCGACAGAATATTACAGGAAAAGGCGTGGGCGATTTTCAAGTCGAAAGATACGGGGCTTAAAGAAAAGTTAGCTGCTTGGACAACGGTGACAGCTATGCGTGGTAAACGAAAAATGGGGATGGGTTGTGGACTAGGTGGAGTAGTAAGCGCAGCCAAAAAGTCGATTCAAAATATGAACACTGACTGTAGTGGAAAGAAAAACCTAATGCAGTTGGTAAAAACAGCTTAGGCTGCAGCAAAAAAGGTGGTGTCGAAGAGAAAATCTAAAAGTAAATTGGGGTCGTTAAAGAACAAAACGCCTAGAATATTACCGATACCTAAACAATCTGGAGGTATTATACCGCTTGTACCTCTGTTTGCTGGACTTTCAGCTTTAGGAGCTTTAGCTGGAGGGGCTGCTAATGTGGTCAAGACTATTAATGACTTTAAAACGAGTAGAAACTCACCTGTTCATATAGGTAAGGGTCTTTATTTACATCCGTACAAAGGTGGAAGGTATAAAATAGAAAAAGGACTCTACCCGAAATCTAGAAAAATCACTACTCGGAGAAAATTAAAAAATAAGAAAACTCGATGTAAAAAGTCAAAAAACTAATAGCAGAACTGCCCAGAAGTCGTCCATTGTATGACTATGAACTAATAAAGTATGCAAAATTGTTGAAAATACCTCACTTTCGTGGTGTGTTCAGTAAAGATCGCATGCCTGTTCGTTGTAAACTTAAAGAATCTGCCATAGTCAACCTTGGCTCATCGCACTCTAATGGTACACACTGGGTTGGTTATAAGAAAAACGGATCACAAGTAAAATATTTTGACAGTTTCGGAAATTTACCTCCACCTAATGAGCTACAAAAATATTTCAACGGATATAATGTAAAATATAATTACGATAAATATCAAAAATTTAATACTTCAATTTGCGGACAGCTTTGTTTAAAGTTTTTATGGAAAGCGTGATGAGTGCTGTGACAAAACCAAGTACAATAACTTTAAACGGTAACTCATCGGTGTTGGAATGTGATTTTTTCCCAGCTTTAGAGCTGGAACACGGATCTGAAATATGTCTCCTGAGTTTACATACATATAATTCATTGCCCAACATAGATGAAGGATGTAACAAATTCGGTATATACAGTCCTAATGGTTTAATCGTGCGACAAATACCTACGGGCGCGTATGAATTGACAAATTTGGAAGCCGCAATTAGGAACCTATTTTCAGATGTCCAGGTTAGCTTCAGTATCGTTGGAAACAGCAACACGTTAAAGTGCGAAATGAAATGTAGTTTAGAAATCGATTTGAGTATGGATGATAGTATATCGAGTATATTGGGTTTTGATAAAAAAAATAAATACCTTGCCAATAAGTGGCACGTGTCTGATAATGTAGTGCAAATCATGAAAATAAATTCTATAAATATAAGTTGCTCACATATTTTAGGGTCATTTACAGATGGTCACCCCACGCATTCAATTTATGAATTTTACCCAGATGTACCGAGTGGATATAAACTAATTCAAGTACCTAAATATCCAGTATACTATCCACTCAACACGTATTCATTAAGTCATTTGCGAATCGATCTGAGAGATCAAGACGGTAATTTGATAAATCTTCGTCAAGAACCTATCACAATACGATTACATATCCGTAAACGTCCGTAAATCATGGGGCTCAAGTTTGTTGATATAAATAGTGCTGCGTATAGGAAAATTATCGGCAGTCGTTCGAAAAGTCTTAGTGAACCAACCAACACCGCTAGCAGCAGCAGAAGTACCACTACGATAACTAAAAACCCGTTCGCAGGACAAAATAAAACTAAAAAAAAGAATAAAAAATCAAGGGAAAAAAAGTCGACTTCTGTGCTAAAAAGAAAATCAGATAATCTCTCAAAAAGTAGTTTGGACTTTCTTCGTTCATTAAAGGCTATTTGAATAACTATAAAAATAATAATACTTCTACTTATACAATAATAATAATAATAATGGACAACTTGTTTTTGGATGTAACGGAACGTTATGTAGATGAGTCGAAAATTACTCAAATAGAATATCATTCGTTTTTACCATTCTCAACAACGGCATTGTCAAGAAATGATGAAATTCGCTTTTCTATTTCCGAGTCTGGATCGTATACCCTCCCTTCTCATTCTTTTTTGAACATTGAAGGGAAAATAACCAAAGGATCAGGGTCTTTAGGTGAGATACGATTCATCAACAACGGTCTGGCGCATCTGTTTTCAGAATGTCGTTATGAGATAAACAACACAGAAATTCAATCAGTTCGAAACCCTGGAATAACATCTACACTAAAGGGGTTATGTTCATATACAGAATCTGATAAAAATGCTCTCTTCAATGCTGCATGGGATATAACGGGGGATAATTGTGATGAGTTTGTAGAAAAAGGATTTTTTTCTGGATGTATCCCACTGAAACATTTATTCGGCTTCTGCGAAGACTATAAAAAAATCTTAATAAACACATCACAACAACTGATCTTAAACCGAGCATCTATTGATTTCGACAGTTTAGTAGCACATGGAGGTGGTAATGAAGAACAGTTGAAAAAACATGAAGGTTCTAAATTGGAAATTACCAAAATTGTATGGAAAATGCCATTGGTTAAAGTATCGGATGAGGAAAAACTGAAACTTTTAAAAGTAGTAGATAGCCAAAAGCCATTATCTCTGGCTTACCGCAATTGGCAACTATGTGAATATCCTGTTTTACCGACTAACACCTCACATTCGTGGAGCGTCCGTAGCTGTTCAAACATTGAACGTCCACGATATGCTATTATCGGGTTCCAGACTGATCGTAAGAACAGCTATAGTAAATCGTTATCTATGTTCGATCACTGTAATCTGAAAAATCTTAAAGTATACCTCAATACTGAAGCGTACCCATATGAAGATTTTCAAGCAGATTTCACAAATAGTAAGGTTGCTTTACTATACAATGCATATTGTAGTTTTCAAAAATCTTACTATGAAAGAGATTGGTCATCTCCACTAATGAGCAAACATGACTTTATGAATAAGACTCCTGTTGTGGTGATCGATATGAGCAGACAAGATGATAATATTAAATTATCAAACGTTGATATCCGTATTGAATTTGAAACAACGTCTGCCATTCCAGAAAAAACATCAGCATATTGTCTTATCTTACATGATCAAATTGCTAATTATAATCCGTTTACGGGGGATGTACGTAAATTATAAATGCTTGTATTACTTATATTTATTAATTTTTTTAGAAGATTTTAACTTAATAATTTGTATTATTGTATTATTCATTAAAATCTTATGTTTTAAATATATGCTCTAAAATAAAAGTTTTTTTACAAAAATATCTGCGTTTTTATTTATATTTTTTAGTAAAAACTATAAATGTACAGGCTGGTTAAAAGCAAAACCATCGTGTGAGACCGGTAAAACTTTCACTCGACATAGAGTTTCGATTACTTTTACTTTTTCACGAGACCAATAGCGGCTGGGGGAACCACTGAGGACTAGCTATAGGACCGGGGGAGGAGACGAGTGATAGTGAGGACTACGGAGGACTAGATATAGACCGGGAGAGGTAGAGGGGAAGTGAAAGTGAGGACTTTAATGTATTTTCAACGAACCATTATACTCTACTGACTTGAGGTACCTTCTCAAATAACTAAAGTTGGATGCAATTTGAGTCCAGACATAATTAGTATAACTCAAATTTTTCGGCGTTCTGAAAAAAAAAATGTAAGATAAAGTATGCCACTTCATCTTCCAATAATTTTTTTTTTCGTAAATACTCAACTGATGTTTACTACATGAATGCATAATACATTATGCATTTCTATAGACTAATACAAAGTCATAAAAACTAAACTAACTGTGATGTTTACAATTTGATTGTATGCAAAACATTTGTATTGTACATTGATCTACTTGTAAAGCTAACACTGATTGAGTAAATTTCAATATCGTTTGTGAATATTATTTTAGAAACCGAATACCGAATACTTTTATATAAAATACAGAACCTTTTTTGAAATATTTAATGACGATTGTTTCAAAACATTAATTAATTAAACATTAATTAATTTAAATACAATAACACCTACTTAATGTTATCTATTCTTTAATAAACATGTAAAAGAAGTAAATATTGCGTTTAAATCACCTGGATCGTCTTTACAAACAATTTGTCTCAATTGTTATAGTGTCCTTGTGAATGTTGCAATCTTTAAAAATATTTAATGTTAATCTATTTTATAATTTTCTATTATAACTAAATTAGGTAATCAAATACAAGTATAAGACATATTATTTTTACTCAATATATATTTTTGACATAACACACCGAATAAGTATAATAATTTTATATTTATAATTCCATAAAATTATAATAAAATCGATTTTTAGAATGAGTGCAAAATAGTCGTGCATATAGTTTAATAGTGAATATAATTTCTAAAAAAAATTTAGGTGATATGTGCGACTTGAGGTACCCTCTCAAACAACTAAATTTGGGTGCAATTCCAGTACAGGCATATAATTAGCATTACTCAATTTTTTCGGCGTTCTGAAAAAAAAAACAAAAATTGTTCAGTGAATAGTCGAATGATGAAGTGGCATCATGAAGCTATATTTTTAGTCAGCTGTATAAAATAAAGGTGCAAAAACGGTATTTTTAAACCCCCTTTTCTTCTTCTATTATGATTTTTAAATGTTTACACTTTTAAATAATTACTAAAATTCGTTAATTTTTTTTTTAAATTCACAAAAGTAGTTAACCGCCTGAAGAACACTTAAGGCTAGGGAAATAATTGTAAAACGTCAAATAAAATGGACAGTTACAGCTAAAACGAAAAGAAAACCTAAAACCTTTACTTACATCTATTATCGCTTTTTCTGTATTTCTCCGCTACGGCCGACTAGTGCTCACATAAATAAACTGTTTCACGCTGAAGGTTTGAGGGTTCCGACTTGCTGTAGTCGTCCAATACGTTTGGCTGAAAAAAAGGTGATTGTAAAAAACATATATGAGTTAATTTATAGAATCTGATAGTTTTCTGATGTTTGACTGAACGAGACTCGAGCGTAAAAAAAAGTATACCTTTTTAACGGCTTTGACGAGGAATTTGCACCTGAGGCCATTACCGGTGACTAAAGTGTTCGTCCGGTTCATTTTTGTATAGGACCAAGCCGTGTCATTTAAAAAATGTAACTTGTTACCGCGATGTTTGTATTTTTTTCCATAGTCGCTTGTTGTTGTCTCAAATGAGTTAGATTCACTTGCAGGTTCAGTGCTGTAAACCGACAATTATTTAATCAAGATTAATGATTACCATCGGTGCACGAATATTGTAATCGAACCTGAGCATTATATTAACAAAAAGATGTTCAATTAATAATTTCAAACAACTTGTTATTTAAATAAAAATTGCCCAGGTTCAATCCTATGCGATTAGGTTGAATAACAGGTATGGAAATGACAATTTAAATAAAAAATTGTCTTAAATAATAATCGTCAATTTTCAATATAAATTGAAATATTAAAATAGCCAGCTTTGTGGAATCGGAGTCACGGATTTTTCGCAATTACCTTTACGGAAAGTTAAACTTTTCTTGATCAACAAATAATTATCACCAAAACAGGAAGATATTATTTGAACTTGGTAATTATTTAATATTCCTTAAGTAACTTAATGCGTTACTATTTCACTCATTAGTGAAATACTACTACTGTAAAGTTTATCTATAACATACTCACACTTCGTATGCATATCTACTAAACAGATACATCGGTGGTACAGGCCAGACGATCCAACCAAAATCACCCTGATGTACCCAACGACCATGTGACGAATTTCTGGTCGATAACCGTGGTCTGTTAAGGCACAGGAACAACTTTCCTTCCACGACATTTTCATCGATCTTCAACTTGTTGGTTAAATACATTTGTGTACCATTAGCTTGCAACTAAAAATCATCAAGTGTATTACAATTAATATTCATATATATATATATATATATAAAGGATAGGGCGAAGGCAACTGACGAGATCTGAGGGCCTAATATCATATACAAATGTTATATTTTCTTTTATTACAATAAGACGTCAATTATAATGCTACATAATATAATTTGAATTATAAAAATGTTTTTGACTTTTTAGAATTAATTTTTGATTTTTTTTTAACTACATATTGAAATAACTAAATCTATCGAAATTCATAATGAAAAATAAAACGTAACGCACAAGCACAGCATTTTTACGTTTAACAGTACGACCAAGTGTTTAAAGCGTATACCAACGTATTTTATCAATACAACTGTCATCTAAACTAGACCTAACGAAACTACTGACTAAAAAATATTATTATACGTTTTTATATCTTATGAACGAACAGTATATTAGTATTAAACTAACTGGAATTGTTTTGTTAAAAGTAATGCTCCACGGGTACGATGGTATTTAAAAAATGTACAAGCCGATATTAATCATATTCGAAGTATTGAAAACATAAATGTCAGACTTACTATTTCAAACGAGTTTCTCTCGGAGTCGGCATACTTATATTGTTGATCTGTGAAGCATAATGATCCACGCCCCTTAAAAGCTGAAGTCGTACGCACCATTACATCTTTCGTGAGACCTACGCCTTCTACTAACAATGTAATTTCGACGTATTGGTTGTTATCGACGATGGTAAAGTTGACAACGTTTGCTGATAGCACGGCATAAACATGGTCGTCGTGAGTATATTCGTGTTGAAGCCCAGATCCACCCGTGGCGGTACCAATGTCCAACGAAAGCAATAGCAGTGCAACCGATAAGACAATATAGATTTTGAACATGATGACGTTGTCGAATACACACAAACGAAACTGTTTTTATGATGGGAAATTCACTAAAAATGGGCAAAAGAAATTCGCGACCGAACGAGTAAAGCCTTCGTGATCGAATGACGATTACCATAACTGGCGTGTGATACAAACCTCAGTCGACCCCTCTAGTAATAATTGTTTGACAGGCGAAGTCGTCCCGGCTATTATTGCCGTTTATTAATCCATCCTGCGAGAAACGCTAGTATTCATCGACCCTTCAATTTATCAACGGGTTCCCTTTGTTGGTATATCCGTTTGACCTCGATTCCAGACCGGGACAATTAATACAAATTGAGCAGTGTGCATAAGCTATAATAATCTTTATTGTGATTTCTATAGCGTCGTATTTCCCATTGTCTGAACACCGGACGCCCCGTCGGTGCAGTGCAATCCGGCCCAGAACGAGTCATCGCAAAACAAGTACTAAATCACATAGGTCTTTAAAAAACTATTTTTATAAGTCACTTTAAAAAAAGTAAAAATAAAAACATTTATTTATCTAAATTGATCAACTTTATTTGTATATCCTTGGTTCGATCTCGTTTCCAGAGCGGGACAATTAATACAAATTTCTAAAATACTGTGAGTGATATGTGTGACTTGAGGTACCCTCTAAACAACTAAATTTGGATGCAATTCAAGTACAGGCATAATTAGCATTACTAAAAATTTTCGGCGTTCTGAAAAAAAAACAACAATTGTTCAGTGAATAATTGAAAGATGAAGTGGCATCAGGGAGAAATTTTATTTAGTCGGCTGTATAAAATAAAGGTCCATTGACGATTGTTTCATAACACGTTCTGGTTATTATGGACATATTATTTTTACTCAATATATATTTTTGACATAACACTCCGAATGAGTATAATAACTTTATACTTATAATTCGACAAAATTATAATAAAATAGATTTTTAGAATGGGTGCAAAATACTCGTGCATATAGTTAAATAGTGAATATATTTTCTAAAAAAAATTTAGGTGATATGTGCGACTTGAAGTACCCTCTCAAACAACTAAATTTGGGTGCAATTCGAGTACAGGCATAATTAGCATTACTCAATTTTTTCGGCGTTCTGAAAAAAACAAAACAAAAATTGTTCAGTGAATAGTCGAAAGATGAAATGTTTACACTTTTAAAAATAACTAAAATTCGTTAAGTTTTGTTAAATTCACAAATGTTTTTGAAGTAGTTATCCGCCTAAAGAACTTTTAAGGATAGAGCAATAATTGTAAAACGTCAAATAAAATGGACAGTTAGAGCTAAAACGAAAAGAAAACCTAAAACGATTAATTACGCTGTTATCGCTTTTTCTGTATTTATCCGGTCCGGCCGATTAGAGCGCACATTAGTAAACTGTTTTAACTGTTGGTATTCTTTGCCATAGTCGCATATTGTTGTCGCAAATGAGTTAGATTCACTTTGTTCGCTGCTGTAACCGACAATTATTTAATTAAGATTACCATCGGTGCACGAATATTGTAATCATATCTGATATTATATTTTTAGGTAAATATTTATTCAGTATTTAGAAGCCGCTCTTCTAAACACTACGCTATATCGTTGTCAAACCGCAGGCCAACTAAACTGTAAGAACAAAAGCGGAACCTCGCCATTATGAATAAACGTAATTACTCTATTGTTGACATAGGGTAATGCAAAGACCGGACATAAAACATTGTCTACTCTTTCAACTTTGACTGGTTAATCACAGGTAATTAGAATCGAAATTATGTCTAAATATATATATATATAAAATATATTAAAACAATGCCCCCTAGAATTAAAAATTTATATTCTTGTTTCTACATTAAAATTTATATTTAATTCACAAATATTATTTTAAAAGGGACTAGGGTTGGAATTTCACTCATTTTGTTCAATCAAATGTGTTGAATTTTGTTCTTTATAATCTTGGGCTAGTTATGGTAACTTGCAATATTTTTTAAACATATATTCTGCTAAATGCAGCTATTTCTAATTTAAAAAGCAGTGAAAAATATCTTGCTTATTTAAAAAAAATAAAACTAAAAACATTTCTGATTCTATCATGAGATTTTAATTTCCAAAATATGGAACATGTGAAACGAATCCAAATTTTTAAACGTTTTTAATTTTCAACAGATGTTGTTTATGAAATCTTTATTATAATTAATTAATGTATTATTCATGTAATAATATTATTAAATATTAAGTACTATTTAAATATAAGATTATTATATATCAATATAAATTCTATGCAAGAAATTTTAAAATTAAAATTTTCATTTCTATCTTGGAAGAAAAGTAGAAAATGCAGACTTTTTAGAGTTAAATCATAGACAGGACCGTAATTGAGGGCTTGGGGGTCGCAAATTTATTAAATAAATGTCATACACAAATACAATTTATAAGAATACTCGTAAAATATTCATAATGGGGTGTCAAAAACAAAAAAAATGTCGACTTCCAAACTTTTAATTGACGACTAAAATGTTTGGGTAAAGTAGTAATAATAAAAAAAAAAAAAGATAAAGCGATTATTAGAAATCAAATCGAAATTTGAAAAAATCAAGTTTATAGATTCTAAGAAAACACAAAACCAAAAAAAATGGAAAATTAATGAATCAAAAGTATAGTATAATGTATCAGAATAAAAAAAAAAAATTTTTTGAATTTTTTATTGTAAATGTTTCAAGTACCTAATTAAAAAGAACCCAGGTTTGAATATTATTCAAGTACTTAAGTAAAATATCTTACTTTATTAATTGGACGGCTCCTCCTCCAGATCGGTGGCGGTGGTTTCTTCTTCCTGGGCGGTTAGGGGAGGTGAAGTCTATGGGTCGTCTATATTGATGGCGTAGGCAGCAGCGTAATTTGCCCCTTCAGCAGAGGCAGAAGGGGTTTTTTGATTACCCCCGTCCTGCCCCTTCTTCTTGAGACAGTCTGCTGGCCGGTGGCCCCGGGCGGTGCACAGATTACATCCTGAAATATATTATATGGTTAGTTGAGGTTATACATAATATGAGAAAATCGGTTAACCGATATAGTAACAACTTACGCCCTCGAAATGGTGCCTTCGGCTCACCGGTGCCACCGCCGCCCCTTCTTCTACCTCGACCTCCCCTACCGCCACCACCGCCACGCCGACCTTCATAGGCGTGGAATATAAACTTAGCCATTTGTCAACATAAAAAAAATATTGAATTTTATATTGTAACGATAAATCAAAAAAACTTTTGAGCGACAGTGTGGATCTTTACAGTCATATCAAAAAGAAACAAATTAATAATTCATAATTAAAATATTTAAAAAATGTTCGTCTACATATTTATGGAGTTACATCAGATAAGTCACTGTATTATTAAATTTTCATAACAATTATTCGCGTTGCCCAAAACATAAAAAATAAAAAATTTTTTTTTTAAAACCTGAGAAAATTGTACATATGCATAGTAGTTTCAAATTGAGTGGGAAAATTTGAAAAAAAAAAAACTGGGAAAAATTACCAAAGTAATGAAATTAGTTCAAATAATTACGTGTGAAAATAATTTTCAGTTTCATAATAAATTGTATTATGTAAAATTAGTGTAAGTCTTTTAGAATAATATTATGCTACATAGTTTATTAATAATACGAGCTGAACAGAATTTAACATTTGTTCTCACCGCTATTTGAAACTTATTTTATCGAAAGACTAATTCAAAGTATGTATTTTAGATAACTTACTTTTTGAGCCGTCCAATTTGCTGCTGCACCTTTTGCACAATACTAAAAGAAGAAACGACTTGAGTCCGCTACTAACTTAACCAAACTTTTACCACCGGTGACCAAACCGGCTTTTTATCGCAATTTAATATTTAAGGTTTCCACGATAATATCTAGTCGTTTAGTGAACTACTTAAATTATGTTATTACTTATTATCATTTAGTTATATCAAAATGTAGCTACAGTTGACTATACCATCCACAAGTGTACCTGTTGAAATACATTTTTCATGTTTGAAACGCATCAAAAGTTATCTTAGAAATTCTATGACAGAAGAAAGATTATCTTCAATAGCTACAATGTCAATTGAAAAAATATTATCATTTATCAATTAAGTATTTACAGTTTAAAATCCATATTTTCATCATTTTTCGAAAATTATTGAACATTAATATAGTTATGATTTACCCATCTTAATACCTTAATTTTGTATTTGAGTAAGAAAGGAGTGAAACATTAGTAAGTACATATTAAACTTGTTAAATGTTTTTAATTATATTTATTAATTTATTTTATTTTTTAAAGAAAACTAAGTTGTGCTGGCATTAACTGAATCTGGCCAGCTAGATGGTTTGGGAAAACATTTAACATTACCACTCTTGCGGTCCTCTTTGCAGTATCTCATCTAAAAAAAAAAAAAAAATTGTAAATTCTATGTGGAATTATTAGTTTTCTATTTACCTCTAATCCACTTGACCAATAGCGAAAACCACTTTTCGCTAGTTTGATTGTTCGAGCATCTGAATCAGTTAATCTTTTTAAATCTAAATCATGTAACACCTCGCTGAAGCTCGGGGGCAGGGGCACCACCATTCATCGCACTAATTGTAATATTGTTTAATAATAATTTAATTATAAGTTAATATTTTGACTTACGTTTGTTGCTATATTCACGTTTTTTTTCTCATTATTGCCTAATTTTAACAAACTTAATTGGTCAATAATAGAATCCAATTTGTTAGACCCAATGAATCACTTAAAACTCTTCGTAGTTAAGGCTCAAAACAGGGTTTTCCTAAAAAAAAATTGTAATATTATTTTTGTAACTATTAATAAATATTTACAAAACAATTAATGAAGAAATGCCTTACTAATTGTAAGTTTAATACTTTTAGAGCCAGTGCCTTAATTTGTTCCTTAAGTGATGTCTATTTGTATGAATAAAAAATATGTAAATAGTTAATTTGTATTGTATAATTTAGCTTAAATTTGTCTTACGATTCGTTCATCTTTTTGCTTATTTTTTTCCGTTAACTCTCTGAGCTTATCATTTTGATCACTAATGTCCAAATTTTAAATTTGTTTGCTAGCGTGTGATTTTCCTAAATAAATAATTTGTTGTTAAAAAAGTATATCTTGATTTATAAGTCATTTAATATGTATAAGATACTCTTTCCTTAAAGTGTTCATCCTTAGTAGTGCTTATAGCCACTAGCTGTTCGGCTGTTAGATTTAAACTTTTAATAATACTATAACCTAATAAGGAGATTTTAAAAATTGTATTTTTTTAACAAGTTAACTGCCTTATCAATTTCAGTAGAATTGCCAAACTCGTCTTGAGTATCTTATATGATGCACAGTTTATTGTGTTTAGACGGACTTTAATTTTTTTTTTGAACCTGCTACAAGCGCTTTGTGTATCAAATATGCTTCTCACATACACTTGCCACGCTCGACTTGAGTATCAAAAATGCACTCAATTATTTTATGAAATAGCTACTGAGTATCACCAGTACTCATCAATTAATTATTTAATCTAAAACTTTGGATAATTTTCTACAAAATGGTTTTTTGGCCCGTCTAAAAACTACATTCCTACTATTTTTAATCTATTTATGAAAATATGGAAACATTATGACACATAAAAATCATTGTATTTTACTTACAAATTCTTATATAAGTTTAAAAAATATCAATATAAGAAAAATAACAAGTAAATAAAATCAAAATAGGTACGAGATCTAACAGAACAGTATTTAACATTCTGCTTTGTATAAACACACATGAAAACAATGGAAATCATTGTGTTTTAAAACAATTTAAACAAATAAAACAAATTCCTAACAGTATTCAACATCTCAGTCTTATAAGTTAACAAATCACAAAATATAATTTTTTTGTATTTTTTTTTTTATATATATATAAAAAAACAGGAAGTCTAGCCGGAGGACAGAGCACTAAAAAACAAAAAAAATTCAAATACAATACTTATTACTTATAAAGTATTATTGTAAATGTTAACACAAGAAAGTATATATATATATATATATATAAATATGAGAGGGTTATGGAAAAAACACTATTTTTCTTTGGAAAATAAATGAATGTTCTCTAAAGTTATAGTTAATTTTTTATTATTTTATAATAGAAAAATAATGAAGTTTCAATGGTTTTTAAAAGAAATTGTATTATTAAATTATCCTGCACATAAATTTATCTTACCTTATAGACAAATAATTTTGATCACTGTCCTCCGTCTAGACTTCCTGTTGTGGATTGTCTCGTCTGATTGTTAATATCCAAATGGGTCACAATGGTCGTCAAGTCCGTTGTCGACCCATTCGGTGTCCCAGATGTTGCTGTCTCCGTCGTCGCTCTGAAACAATCACTCGTCCACTCCGACTGATCGTTCAGTGACGGCCATGGTGACATCAATACCTGAGACACCCCAGCAGGACTTAGTGTAGGACTGCCAGAATGAGTTGCCAACGGACCTGATGCCGAGCAGTTCCTGGCGAGGTGGCCAGCGACCCCACACTACTGGTAACAGCCTAAAACATCAATCAAATTAAATGTAGAAAAGAAAATGTTTCTAATATTTATAAATGTCACTTATGTTTACTACGTGGGGTTTTCCAGATACCTCGACGGTTGCGCCGCGACGAGGACGAAGGCCTTATCACCGGCCCAGAGTACACAACCACCTGGTCGTTCAATGTGGCTCCATTAAAGGCGGCTGTGCACGGGTTAGGCCGACTGTAATGCCTACGTCCTCGATCACGTCTAATGGCACCACCGCCGTCGCTGCCAGGGACCAGACAATCCCTACTTCCTCCCTCGTTCAATTTTGAGGGTTCCTATAATAACCAGTTAGTTTATTATAAAAAAAATGTATAAATAAAATATACACCAAAGCAAAAAAAATTAACTGATAAACTAAAGCTTTATGGTTGATTATCAAATTTATTTTAATTAAAAAACCATTATAGTCGTTCCAAGTGTTTGCTTAAATATTAGGTAGCCAATTACTTAGTTTTGTTTTGAACTAGTCAAAATGTCTTTCAATATTTGAATTTTTTGCTATTACATGTTTCTATTTATTTAATATTATCAAAACATAGAGCGGTTAACTAAAAAATTGAAAAACCAGATAATGCCTTAGATGTGAAATATTTTTTTTTAACACAATACAAAACTAGTTAACTGTACAAGAAGTGTATGTCGTTTCAATCAACGCACCAGGTAAAAACACAATATTCAAGTTAAAATTAAAAATATTTAACTTTAATGTTCTAATAATAAAAAATGTCTTCTAACTATAAAGTATAATAGAACGCATCAGTTTTTAAAAATAAATACTAAAACGACAAGTCATTTACTGATAAGCATTTATTTTTTTTACTTGTCTATAAGTAGTTTTCTATTACGACAGATGATTTTCTAATTGCTAAATAAAAAATATTAAGTTTTACATAAAAACAAAAATGGAATCCATCCAATTGATATGCCATAAAATGACTTCTACAAAAGTAATTTTTTATCAGACTTCCACCATAACTTGGAAAATAAATCTTTAAAAGTATCATAATTAGAAATACTTAATATTTATTTACCTTAGAAGTAGTTGGCATACTAAAAATGGCACTTAAATTAATTTTTGCCAAATATTGTATATTATTTGCAACTTAGTATTTAACATTTTTCGTTCCCCTTACCATTTAAGTATTGGACAAATTGTCAAAAAATGTAATTATATACGGTTATATAATATTAGATAAATAAATGTAAGGTAATCTATATTTTATTTTAATAATTTGATAAAAACAAAATTTGTAATATGGAATTAAATTGCATTTTGTTTTATAGAAATATTGAAAAGAAAAAATTAAATATGACGCTTTGTATCAAATTAATTTCTAAACAAAAAAGTGTCCGGTAAATTAAGTTTGTTGTGAAAAAAATTACCTCCAAATAAAGCCATCAATATTATTGTTACGTTCACAAATGTTCATAATATGACTCCTTGTTTATTTGTAATCGCCTTCCTAATGTATTAGTGTCCAAGTTTGACACATATTTAAAACATTTACGTTAGTTTGAGTTCTGGTTTCAAATTCAAACAATTTGTAAATATTAAATAAATTTAACTCAACTCATTTTTTTTTAAATAAAAGAAAGAAAGAGAACTAAGTGAAAATAATACGTGTTAACACGTAGAGACTATACTTACGTATGACATTCTAATTAGTTCGAAACCTATTTTAGGTGATTTTTCTGAACAAAACAAGAGATTATCTACTATCTACACTACCTGTCCTTATTTGTTTTTTGTGCCATCGTTTTTAGCATTAAAAAACAAATTGATTGAAAAAAAAAAATCGAAATTCGGGTCTGGGGTGGTAAAGTCGATTTGTTCCAATTATTTTTATTAGTAAATTAAATTAATTATTGGTTTTGTATATTCGTAATTTAAATAAAACAATTTTATTGAGATTCTGCAGGATAATCATTACGGTATGTGCAATTTGAAACAAAGAATATTACACTCTATCGCTGTTAGAAAAATGAATTGATTATTATTAGTTTAGAGAAACAGTATAGTTTGTTGTGGTCGAGATAGATGGGGGTTGAAATAAAGGGTACACTGGTGTTCAGTTATTACGGATAAATTTATTTGAACAAAATAAACATATGGTTTTTTTTAACAAAATGTATCGTCGAAACGGTATCCACATAGGAAGTAGTGGTCAGCTAACGGCGGCGGCGACCGGTTCGCGTTGCCGACCCGCGACCTGACGGACTAAGGTAAGAGATGCGGTCCGCCACCCAGCGGTGACGAATGTAGTTAGCATGATATTGCATGACAAATCCAGCTTGATAAAATAATGTATGCTAATATAGAGATACCTACACTATTAGTGTCACACAGTTGGGATTGGGTTGTAAATTTTTGTTTTTTTTTAACTATCGTAATTTTAGTGATTGAAAGTGTTGTTGTGAAAGTTTTTATAGAATTGGGTAGCTAGATCAGGTATTGTTGGAAGTTTTAAGTCGTTGTGTAGGGTTCGGTCCTTAAAGTTAAACATATAAAACCAAGTTATATCGGGCAAGTTTGCATGTCATTTTTAAAAATATATATAAGATGAATCTTTTTGTTATAGTATCCTTGTTTCATAATGCATTCTTTACAAATATTTTGTGTGCATCTATTATGCAATTTTTAATGGAACTTGGATCTACATGGAACTTGTGAATGTTTAGATAATCCTCCTGAAAAGTTGATAATTTTGACTTATCACGTTTTGACCAACCATCGAAGATATATTCTTGACATAACACACCTAATTTAACTTTATAATTATATTTTATATTTACTTAATATTTAACTTTATTTTTATAATTATATAAAATTAAAACACAATTGATTTTTAAAATGAGTTTAATTTGTGCATGAAGTCTGTAAGTGAATATAATTTCTAAAAAACTGGAAGTCATAATGTGTACACAGTCTCTACTCTTCATTGAGTTCACAATTAAGGGTTCCTTAATGATATATGTATACTTATATTATCGGTGTTTTAACTTGCAAAAATTGGGTTCAAGGTTACTAGTATCAATTGTAGATACAACACATTCAGTAACATTTATTATTATTCATACTTAATTACTCATTATTTTTTAAAAACTGTTGCAAGCTGCCAATATGTATGACATAAACTATGCAAGGTTCCAGTTAATGAGTATTTTAGTTTTAACGGTTATTACAGACTATAATTATTACTGAATTCTACAAATAAACCACTTGTAATTTATTGTGGGGATGTAGGCACAACGGTGACAGGCCGGTGTCCAGTGGACTAACAGTTTTTTAATAAGTTAAATTATTGCAATTTTATATCTTTAATTTTAGCTATTATCAATTAAAGAATGCTAGAAAACTAGTACAAGAAAAAAAATCAAAAAAGTAATTTTTAAAAAAATAATTTTGGTTTGACCTATTGTATTTTTTGCATTTTTTAAATAATTTTCTTTATACATTTTTTTTTTTAAATATTTACAATCTGTATTTATATATACCATAAGTAAAATTTAGGGCTAATTTATTTACAAAGCTGTAAGTGATATGTATGACTTGAGATACCTTCTCAAACAACTAAAGTTGGATGCAATTTGAGTCCAGACATAATTAGTATTACTCAAATGTTTCGGCGTTCTGAAAAAAAAAAAATTGTAAGTATGCCACTTCATCTTTTAACAATTTTTTTTTTTTCGTAAATACTAAATTGATGTTTACAATTTGATTGTATGCAAATCATTGTATTGTACATTGATCTACTTGTAAAGCTAACATTGAGTAAATTTCAATATCGTTTGTGAATATTATTTTAGAAACCGAATACCGAATACTTTTATTTAAAATACAGAACCTGTTTGAAATATTTAATGACGATTGTTTCGAAACATGTTTTGGTTTTCCTTACCTGATTAATTTAAAAACAATAACACCTACTAAATGTTATCTATTCTTTAATAAACATGTAAAAGAAGTACATATTTGGTTTAATCACCTGGATCGTCTTTACAAACAATTTGTCTCAATTGTTATAGTATCCTTGTAAATGTTGCAATATTTAAAAATATTTAATGTAAATCTATTTTATATTCTCTATCATAATAAGATTAGTTAATCAAATACAAGTATAAGAAATGTTATTTAACTCAATTTATATTCTTGACATAACACACCGAATAAGTATAATAACTTTATATTTATAACTCGATAAAATTATAATAAAATCGATTTTTAGAATGAGTGCAAAATAGTCGTGCATATAGTTTAATAGTGAATATAATTTCTAAAAAAACTGTAGGTGATATGTGCGACCTGAGGTACCCTCCCAAACAACTATATTTAGGTGCAATTCGAGTACAGGTATAATTAGCATTACTCAATTTTTTCGGCGTAAAAAAAAAAAAAAAAAATTCAGTGATTAGTCGAAAGATGAAGTGTCATCATGAAGCTATATTATTTAGTCAGCTGTATAAAATAAAGGTGCATAAACGGTATTTTTAAACCCCCCTTTTCTTCTTCTCTTTTGATTTTAAAATGTTTACACTTTTAAATAATTACTAAAATTCGTTAATTTTTTTTTTTAATTCACATATATTTTTTGAATCCCCTAGATTAGGTTGAATAACAGGTATGGAAATGAAAAATTAAATAAAAAATTGTTTTAATAAATAATCGTCAATTTGCAATATAAATTGAAGTAATAATATGGCCGGCATTGTGGAATCGGAGAGTCACGGATTTTTCGCAATTATCTTTACGGAAAGTTAAATTTTTCTTGATCAACAAATAATTATCACCAAAACAGGAAGATATTATTTTAACTTGGAAATTATTTAATATTACTTAAGTAACTTAATGCGTTACTATTTCACTCATTAGTTAAATACCACTAACGATATGTAAAGTTTATCTATAATATACTCACACTTTGTATGCATATCTACGAAACAGATACATCGGTGGTACAGGCCAGACGATCCAACCAAAATCACCCTGATGTACCCAACGACCATGTGACGAATTTCTGGTCGATAACCGTGGTCTGTTAAGGCACAGGAACAACTTTCCTTCCACGACATTTTCATCGATCTTCAACTTGTTGGTTAAATACATTCGTGTACCATTTGCTTGCAACTAAAAATCATTAAGGGTATTACAATTAATATTCATATATATATATATATATATATATATTTATAAAGGATAGGGTGAAGGCAACTGACGAAAATAAAACGCTAGTATTCATCGACCCTCCAATTTATCAACGGGTTCCGTTGATAAATATAATAACACAATTGATTTTTGAATGAGTAGAATACTTGTGCATGTAGTCTAATAGTGAATATAATTTCTAAAAAACTGTAAGTGATATGTGTGTCTTGAGGGTACCGTCTCAAACAACTAAATTTGGATGCAATTCGAGTACAGGCATAATAGCATTATTAAAAATTTTCGGCGTTTTGAAAAAAAAAACAAAAATTGTTCAGTGAATAATTGAAAGATGAAGTGGCATCATGGAGATATTTTATTTAGTCGGCTGTATAAAATAAAGGTCCATTAACATTATTTTTAAACCCCCTTTTCTTCTTCTATTTATATTTATAAATGTTTTCACTTTTAAATAATTACTAAAATTTGTTAAATTCACAAATGTTTTTGAAGTAGTTATCCGCCTAAAGAACATTTAAGGATAGAGCAATAATTGTAAAACGTCAAATAAAATGGACAGTTACAGCTAAAACGAAAAGAAAACCTAAAACCATTACTTACGCTGTTATCGCTTTTTCTGTATTTATCCGGTCCGGCCGATTAGAGCGCACATAAGTAAACTGTTTGTGTTTTTTGCCATAGTCGCATGTTCTTGTCACAAATGAGTTAGATTGACTTTGTTCGCTGCTGTAACCGACAATTATTTAATTAAGATTACCATCGGTGCACGAATATTGTAATCATACCTGATCATTATATTTTTAGGTAAGCTTATTTTACAATTAGTTAAACAAACATAGAAAAATCTATAATCCTAACCTAACTAACCTAACCGTTGTTGTTTTTAGTCAACTGGTTGGTTAGGTTAGCTATTAGGCTACTATATTTTGTAGGACAGATCGCTGAGAATATTAACAGATAGGTGTCCAAGAAATAATTTCAAACAACTTGTTATTTTAATAAAAATGCCCAGGTTCAATCCTGGGAGATTATGTTGAATAATAGGTATGGAAATAATAATTAAATTAAAATATTATTTTAACGAATAATCGTACATTTTTAATGTAAATTAAAATAATAATATAGCTAACATTGTGGGATCGGAGAATCACGAATTTTTAGTAGTTATCTTTACTGAAAGTTAAATTTTTCTTGATCAACAAATAATTATCACCAAAATAGAAAGATAATATTGAACTTGGTAATTATTTAATATTCCAACCTAATATGTTACTATTTAAACTTAAGTAATAGACAGTAAGTATACATGAAAATAAAGCTTACACTATACTCTGTTGATTTAAAACAAAATATAAAAGATTATACTTACCTTATTTCGAAAAAAAAGTTATTTCAAAACACGGTAAATAAAAGTGTGTATGGTGTTAACAGAAAATCGCAAATAAAAACACATGGGCTTTATCAGGATTGTTTCTTATCGGTAAACTAGTTGTTCCTAACATCATTCTTTACATTTCTTGTAAAATTTCAATTGATGGTATAATCACAGATTATATGAAAACAGATTGTTCACTCGGGCCTTTAACAATAGGATTGCAAATAAGGCTCTATGATTGGCCCGCCAAAATCAGTGTGACCGTCTGAGGGGAATTTGTTTTTAAACGTGTTCGCGGGCTTTCGCATTTGTTAAATAATTGAGTTAAACAGAATGTTTCTCTTGTATTTACTAAACATTTTATAAATATAATTAACCATAACGATAATAATATTATTCTTACTATTACAGTTGTTTTATATTATCTTACACACTATATAGTACGACGTATCCAAGGGCAATAATTTTAATTTCAATAACAAAATATCATTAATAAATAATAATTCATATCCACATACCCGATAACTTTTTGACAAAATCATAGGATCTTTATGGTAGAGGTGTGTCGCTTGACAACTCTCTAACCATTTTTTACACCTTACACAGTAAATTACTGTATACATATATATATATATATAAGTTGAAAATTATAAGATCTATTATAAAATAAAATAATTATAAATGCTTACCTTTGCGGATCAGTTGGAAAAATAAAATAGCTAATGCTATTTTATGTTTTTGACATTTTTGTTTCGCAAAATTGTACCGAACACGAAGTCATTGTAAAAATTAAAAACTCACAAAATGGTTTAAAATTTCGTAAAATTTGGAGATCGCTGCATCTAAATGCAAACTAATAAGATTAAGGACTATATCGATATTGGCCAAGAAACTAATAATATCATTGAAATTGCATGCATTGAAATTATAAACAACGGGGTTTGATTGGTCATTTAGTAAACTAAATGAGTTAAGTAGATAAAATAATTCTAAGCGTGGGTGATAAGAGTCTACTTCAGTCGCTGTTACGGTAGGCGATATTTGCAAAAAGTTGTTTAAAATTAAATCTCTAAATTCTTTGAAATGCATATTATAACATTTAAAATGTTTTTTTATAAAAGTAAAACGTGTTCCAAATTGTTATGTCGAGTAAATGGAATAAAACTTTTTTGTACTATTACAAATTAACGTGACCTTAAGTAACCTTTTACACGACCGCTATATATATATATATATATATATACATAATACTATAGATACTTAATGATTTGTTTATTTATACTCACAGTGAGCAACTGTTGGAATAATAATTAATATTCTATATATCAAGAAGTATTTCACAATATATAAATATGTTGTTTATCTGTATAATAAAAATACGTAGTTGTTAACCAGGAAATGTTATAGAAAAACAAAGTTGTTTTTGTAAGCACACGTGTATATGTAGACGCGTGCAACCTTGTGGGTTAATATAAATAGCATTTGATCTAAGGGCTCGGGGCTCAGTATTTCTATTCAGTTTATACATATTACTAGTGTATTATTGTTTCACTGTGTTGTATATATTATATGTATAATATATCTATTATTGTAATAACATTATTTGTGTTGAATACTTGATTATCATCTACTACTACTCGCACTCTGATACTATATTTATGTATAGTATTACAACAGGTTATGCGCCCAGACACTCAGACAAACAGTCAAAGGCACACCGGACATCGAGAGTCAAGTATTTGAAGAACACAATTTTTTTTTAAGATCACCAAGTAAGTGAATTATAGTAATTAAGCAGCACCTGACGAAGTGTATATTGGATATACATTTATCAAAGTCGTTCAAGAGTACTATACAAGTACGTCATCTATTGATATGGAAGAATCAATAAAGATTGCCAAGCTATGCAATATTGAAGGTTGGACACTTTGGAAATTTCAGATGAAGGTAATACTAACTTCATATGAGTTGGGTAGTTTAATTACAGGAGAGTATACAAAACCAGTGCTAACAAGCAAAGAAGCTGACGCCCAGAAAAGATATAAAGAGGATCTATTATATTGGCAACGGGCTGACTCTAAATGCCAAAAACTGATAGTAACATCGGTTGACAACGGTCCAATGCAATACCTGATTAACTGTAAAACATCGTATGAAATGTGGACAAAATTACTCGCTGTCTATGAGCAGAAAAACGAGGCGAGTATACATTTAATACAACATAAATTTTTCAGTTACGTAAAGGACTCGGCTGACGATATGTCGACGCATATTACCAAATTGCAAAACCTACAGAATCAACTTAGTTTGATGGGACAACCAGTCACAGAATCTATGCTTATGACGAAAATTCTAATGACTTTGCCATCGGAGTATAAACATTTTTACAGTGCATGGGACTCAATGCAGCTAGAAAGTAAGAATTTAAATGAACTAACATCTCGGTTACTTATTGAGGAGTCGAGAATGTATCAAGGTAGTTCGGTAGTTGAATCTGTAGAAGAAAATAATGCTTTAACTGTTAGAAAGTTCCAGAAGAAATTTTCTAAAAAGACAGGCAGTGAAAAATTTGGTTAACGGAAAGTTGGGAATCCAAATGTGGGTACTAAAAAGATAGGACCCTGTTTTTATTGCAAAAAGGGCGGTCATTTCAAAAAGGACTGCAGGAAGTATAAAAAAGACCAAGACGATGCCAAGGGAAATTCGTCACAATCAAGTGAAATAGGACAAGCTTTTTACAGTGAACTGTTATTCACAGAACAAGAATCGGATAACTGGTATCTAGACTCTGGTGCTACTAATCATATGACGGGACATAAAAATTGGTATGTTCATTATAATCAATTTAAATCACCAATTAAAGTGAAAATAGGCGATGGCACTATTTTATATGCGCAAGGTTCTGGTCAAATCAATATTATATGTTATGTTAGAAATAATCAGTATAATAATTTTATGACTAATGTTTATTATGTACCTGAACTAAAATATAATTTATTCAGTGTTGGTTCTACGTTGGACAAGGGCATAAAAATGAAGTCAGATAATAAAAAATGTGTATTTTTACTAAACAACAAGATCGTTTGTGAAGCGGTACGCAAAAATGGCTTGTATAATGTTAATATTAGAATACAGAACCAGCCAATTAACAAAACGGGTTTCGTCAACGATGTGCAGCCAGAAGCAACGGCCGTAGTAGCGGGTTCATTAACACTGTGGCACGAACGTATGGCACATCAAAACATTGGTTACGTAAGAAGTTGTTTACTTAAACATAATATTAAGGTGGAGAGTGACAATAACTTCACATGCGAGGCATGTATTATGGGTAAACATAGTAGAAAATCATTTCAAAGTCGTACGGACAAATCACAAAAAGTGGGAGAATTAATATTTACTGATCTTTGTGGACCTTTCCAGACAGATTCTCTAGGCGGGTCAAAATATTATCTTGTTTTTAAAGATGATTTTTCACACTTTAGAACTGTATATTTCTTAAAACATAAAAATGAAGTTAAAGACAAACTTGAATTGTTTATTAAATGTTTTAAAAATGAGACAGGTAATAAAATAATAGCAATACGTTCGGACAACGGCGGAGAGTTTGTTAATAAACAGGTTTTAGGAATATTAAACAAGTATGGAATCCGTCATCAGAAAACAATAGCCTACACACCACAACAGAATTCTTCAGAACGCGAAAATCGTACGTTGGTGGAGGCTGGTCGATCAATTTTATATTCCAGAAATATGGATTTATCATTATGGGCAGAAAGTATATCATACGCTAATTATACTTTGAATCTCACAGGTAAAAGCTCAATTAATAATAAAAATCCAAATGAGTTGTATTATAATAAATTGCCTGACATAAATCACTTAAGAGTTTTTGGAAATAAAGTGTATGTACATGTACCCAAGGAAAAACGTCAAAAGTTAGATGCCAAGTCTAGAAGCGGTATTTTCGTTGGATATTCTATTGACAAGCGCGGGTACAGGGTTTATTTTAATGATACGAAAACGGTAAATGATTGCCGGACGTTATATTCACTAAGGAAATAATAAATACAAATGAAGTTAGCATAAGCGAAAGTGTTACACAGGTTGACGACGAGAAGGAACAAGTCGTGAATGAAAAACCAGTTCAAAACGAGGAAACAGTAACCATACCTATAGTCACGGACACTCATGGGTACAGTTTACGAGACCGCAGCCAATTACAAAAACCGGTAAGGTATCGGTGCATGCTAAGTATATCAGAACCAGTTAACTATTATGAAGCGATAAACAGTGAGTATGCAAATAAGTGGGAAGAAAGCAAAGAATGACGAGCTTAAGTCATTAATTGAAAATAAAACGTGGGAACTTGTCGACAGACCGATAAATAAAAGTGTTTTAAACAATATGTGGGTATTTAAAATTAAGTACAATGTAAATGGTCAAGTCGAGAGATTTAAGGCGCGTTTGGTGGTTAACGGGTCAAGACAAAAACCAGGCGTGGATTTTGGAGAAGTTTTTAGTCCAGTATGCCGATATGAAAGCATACGTACAATATTAGCAGTTTCTGCGGCTAAGAAACTTGAACTCAAACAATTCGACGTGAAAACGTCATTTCTTCATGGAGAATTAGATGAAGAAATTTACATGGCTCAACCATTGGGTTTTAATGACAACTCGGGTAGAGTATGTAGATTACGTAAGTCTTTGTGCGGATTAAAACAATCACCAAGAAATTGGAACTTTAGATTTAGACGTTTTCTAGAAAAATATAATCTTAATCCAACTGATTCAGATCCATGTGTGTATATAAATAATGATAATAATGAAAATAGTTATTTTAGCTATATTCGTCGATGATGGTTTAATTGCTTCAAACAGTATTGCAAAATCACAAGAACTCATTTCAAGTTTACAACAAGAGTTTCAAATCACACAAGGAGATTTAGATAATTTCCTAGGTATGTCAATAGAGAAACAAAATGATGGCTCATTATTCATTCATCAGGCCAAGTATGCAAATAATATTATTGAAAGATTTAATA